TAAGCATAGCGTTTTACAAACGCACAGCAGCTGAGTTGAAAATTTAAATTACTGTACTTTAATTTTCTGTTAAGTTTTTGCTATTATATATCTATATTAATTATTCCAGATTTAATAACATGCGCCAACAGTATTTTCTCTAATAAAGAAATAAAAGCTTCTTGTCCGCATAGTTTGCACATTACCAAAGACGGACTTTGACATGCTCATTGGTGCGATTATAAGATGTGAGATCCAATGAATAAGTGCCGAATTGTTTGGCTCATCCACCGTGAGAAAATAGTTACCCATGCATTACTTAAACCCTTAGGCTTACTATCTAAGCCCATCAATGTACACTCTAGCAGTAAAAAAAAAAAACTTTTTTAGAGGGAAGCAAGATAAGACACTAGCACAATATCCACATAATATGTACACAATCTCCGAGGGAGGATAGTACAGAAGAAGTGAAAGAGCAACGAGCTCGTTTTCTCACGTCAGTTTAATTTGTTGCAAAACCAGAGCTGATTTTCTCACGTCAGTTTTATTCCAAAGCCATCCCGATTAGTTACATAAATTTAGGAGACAAACATCACACTTGACAATTCCCAAAAGTGGTTCAGAAGAAGTCATGACCGTAACAAGCTTATTTTCTCACCTCAATTTATTCCGAAATCATGCTAATAATTACCACAATGCAACACACTAGTCAGTATTCATGAGCACAAACAAATAGCAGATAAGCAACCCTTTTACTCAATCATTTTCCTTCGTAGATCAGTAATTCCCCCCAATAAAGACTCTTTGGTCACCGCCGCGTCCTCCTCCACAACCATCTCCTCCTCCACCACCACCACCGCCTCCTCCTCCTCCATTCACCTGGACGTTAACGCGTCCTCCTACGTTATGCTGGAAATTAATGTGCTCGAATTGTCCTGTCGACATCATCTCATATGTTTTATTTATTACGTAGTTAGCATAATCACCACCTATTGGAGGTGTGCTTGTGTGGGCCATAAGAGTTCAGTAGGCAACACACATGAAGAGAAAGAAGGCTGTGAAAATCGTGTGGGGACCACACCACGTGAATGAAGCAAAGGATCACGCGTTTTGTTTTTTTTTCCTTCTTCTCTCTTTGCGGACATCAAGGCAAAGGCCCACCCGAAAGTTAAGTACAAAGCATTATAAAAACCTTCTAGGGTTTCGTGAAGGATGGTGCAATTGAGGGGGTGGCTGCGGCAGGGCAAGCAAGGGCGGCTTTTGGTGAAAGGCGCAGTGCAGAGAGAGGGAAGAAAATCGGCTGAGAGAGTGTGGGGACTGTCTCGGGTTTTGTGAAGAGAGAAAAAAATATTTGGAGGCTGACATTTTCTTGTGAAGAAAAGCAAGGAGCCTATTTGAGGGTTTAGATTGTGAGAGTTGTAAACCCATTTTATTCTTTTTCTCTTTAATAGTAAATCTCCCCCTCCTTGCCCCGTGGATGTAGGCAGTTTGCCGAACCACGTAAAATTGGTTTATTTGTGTTTGTGGCAATTGTAATAGTTTTTAGGATCCCTCGACGCGCAGTCCTAGAGCTGACGAGAGGAAGAGCTAATATCCCACTTTGATGGGATATTAGGCTTCAGATTCTTATTCCATTTGAGAAACAAGAATTCTTATCAATCTTTCTCTCTTATTGTGCACCAGAAACTCTGCCGAAATTTTCGCTGCGCACAACAAGTGGTATCAGAGCCCAGATTTCAGATCTAGGGTTTGGTTGGAGGAGTAGATCAATTTGGAGGCCCGTTTAGGACTTCGTTGGTGATAAAGGTGGGATCTTTTGGTAAAGACTCTATCTTTCAGTTTTGGATCTATTCTTTGTTCGTTGGTGCGTAAGATGTCGGGGAAAGAAGGTGCTTCGGGTGTCGAGGGTGGTGCTTCTGGTGTGAAGACCATTCAGAGTTTGAATATCCACTCTATGAAGATAGATGTGAAGAAGTTTAATGGCACAAAAAATTTTGGATTATGGAGATGCGAGGTTTTGGATGCGCTGAACGCGCAGAATTTGGAGGATACCTTGGAGTTAGATGGCAAGCCAGATGAGATTGAAGAGAAGGTTTGGAAAAAGATGAATCGAACGGCGTATGGTGTAATTAGATCTTGTTTGACTCAAGATCTGCGAAAAAGATTTGGGAGATTCTCGAAAGCAAGTATTTGACCAAGAGTGTGGAAAATCGCTTGCATTTGAAGAGGAGGCTTTATCGTTTCTAATTGAAGAAGGGAACCTCCATTAGAGATCACATGAACCACTACACTAAGCTTCTTGCGGAATTGGCGAATGTAGATGTCGTGATTGAAGATGAGGACAAGACGTTGCTGTTATTGAGTTCCTTGCCCGACGAGGAATATGAGACATTCGTTCTTACTCTGATTAATGGGAAGGCATCACTTTCATATAGTGAGGTCACCGCTGCACTTATGAATTATCAGCTTCGAAAGAAGGATAAGGAGGCTTCAGTTGAGCCGGTAGCGGAGGCGTTGGTCGCAAGAGGGAAGGGTCCAAACCGAAAGAATTGGAAGTCACAGTCTAGAGTTGGAAAAGATCAGTGTGCTTGGTGCAAGGAGACTGGTCATTGGAAGAAAGACTGCCCAAAGCTCGACGAATGGATGAAGAATAAGCAGAAGGGAAAAGGGAAGCAACCATCATCAGAAGCAAACATCGTATCGGATGGTAATAATTCTGAGTCTTCTATTTATTCGCTTTCTATCAGTCCTACAGATAGCTATTCGGAGGAATCTGAATGGATGTTGGATAGTGATGCGACCTATCATGTGTGCCCTAGAAGGGAATGGTTCTCCAGTTTTGAGAAGCTGGTGGATAGTGGTGTGGTGTACATGGCTGATAATCGTGTATGCCGGATCCTTGGGATAGGAAGAATTCACATAAAAATATTTGACGGGACGGTTAGGGAGTTGATGTGAGATATGTTCCTTCTTTGAGGAAGAACTTGATCTCAATTGGAGCTTTGGTTGGAGAGGATCTGAAGGTTCGTGTTGAGGACATGGTTCTCGAGATTGCGAGAGACTCTCGTATTTTGATGAAGGGCGTCAGGAGAAATAACCTGTATTACTTGACTGGAGGAATAGTGGCAGGTGGAGAACTGGCGACTTCTGTTGATTCGACTAGACTGCGGCATTTGGGGCTTGGCCATTCCAGTATTGATTCCTCGCATAGATTGAAAGAGGGTGCAAAGACCTGCAGTTTGAAGTCCAGTGAACATGTTGATGTGAGCAAGAAGACCGAGGTGAAGTGTGGCACCTCTATTCACCGTGCTAAGGGTCGTTCTGGAGGAGTTCACGTGGATGTTTGGGGGCCTTCCAAGGGGGCATCATTGGGAGGTAATAGGCGTTTGGTTTCCTTTGTTGGTGACTGTTCTAGGCGTGTTTGGGTTGCAACCAAATCCCCTTTGGAGAAAGTCCTAGTAGTATCCAACAAATTGAAGAAGTGTGTAATAGACAGAAAGGTGAAGGTACTCCATTCTGGTGGGACTGCAGAAAAGTTTCTGGACAGAGGCTTCGACATATTTGGGTCATCCTATTAAAGAGTTGTCAACTGCTGTGATTGGAGGTAAAACTCCATTGGAAGATAGGTCTGGTAGTGTCACTTTATATGAGGCTTCGATGAGGGAGCCGATTGACTCTCAGCAGGTGAAGAGTTTTGGACAGACCTTAGAAGTATCGCAGCGGGTGGAGATTGATGCTACTCCACATTGGGTGGAGATTTTCCCACATACTCCAGGTCATTCTACATTGATTGGGATTCCAGCTGAGGTGACACAGCGTGGAAGTCATTTGGATTCGGATGCAGATGATGAGTTGGATTTTGATTCGAGTGCAGCTGGCAGACATAGTTTGGATATGGCCAGTGGTTCACCTCAGGTGGAGGTGTTTGAGGCCATTAGAGGTGCTATCAGCCGCAGAGTTGATGATATTGGAGAAGGGTTGTGAACTCTTCTATTGGATTGAGGCCTTTGGAGGCCATTTGAGTGAACTACGTTCGGCTTGATTCCTTGGTCAAGAGGATACGTAGGCAGTCTTTATGATGCAGCCGGGTTAGATTTTTGATGGGGGTGAGATTGCTTTGGTGAGTTGATACAGATATTTGGAGAGTGTTTGCATTCTCATTTGGGTCTTGACTTGTTATGGATTGAGTCTGTTGTCGTAAATTGTTTCACGGTGTATTGGACATAACAAGTGAGACATTTGGTTTGGTTGGTGTCGGCTCAGTTTTGGGAAAACTTCACCGAGGTGGAGAATTATTGGAGGTGTGCTTGTGTGGGCCATAAGAGTTCAGTAAGGCTGTAAAAATCGTGTGGGGACCACACCACGTGAATGAAGCAAAGGATCACGTGTTTTGTTTTTTGTTTTTTTCTTCTTCTCTCGTTGCGGACATCAAGGCAAAGGCCCACCCGAAAGTTAAGTACAAAGCATTATAAAAACCCTTCTAGGGTTTCGTGAAGGATGGTGCAATTGAGGGGGTGGCTGCGGCAGGGCAAGAAAGAGTGGCTTTTGGTGAAAGGCGCGGTGCAGAGAGAGGGAAGAAAATCAGCTGCGAGAGTGTGGGGACTGTCTCGGGTTTTGTGAAGAGAGAAAAAATATTTGGAGGCTGACCTTTTCTTGTGAAGAAAAACAAGGAGCCTATTTGAGGGTTTAGATTGTGAGAGTTGTAAACCCATTATATTCTTTTTCTCTTTAATAGTAGATCTCCCCCTCCTTGCCCCGTGGACGTAGGCAGTTTGTCGAACCACGTAAAATTGGTTTATTTGTGTTTGTGGCCATTGTAATATTTTTTAGGATCCCTCGACGCGCAGTCCTAGAGCTGACGAGAGGAAGAGCTAATATCCCACTTTGATGGGATATTAGGCTTCAGATTCTTGTTCCCTTTGAGAAACAAGAATTCTTATCGATCTTTCTCTCTTATTGTGCACCAGAAACTCTGCCGAAATTTCCGCTGCGCACAACACCACCATCATTGTTGCTGCAATAAAGAGTGGCGCCGCGAGAGTTTACAATTTGATTCTGCATGGAAACAAGATTATAGTACATATCAAGATAGTTGTCATTCAAAGAAATAATAAGATAGAGAGAGGGAGATACCGATGGTAATATGTAATAGTACGCCTGCAACAACAATATGAAAATAGCGAATAAATTAATACGAGGAAATTATATAATCACATCAACTAGATCATAATCTTGATTAGCATGCTTTTGAGGGAGAGAGAGAGTACCATGATGCCAATGGTAGATAGTTGTGATGATAACTCAATCCCAGGACCTAACGTCCATATTTATAAGTGGTAGCAAGTCTACTTTCTCTCTGATCTCTATAATTTAATTAATTAATAATGGTTCTTATCCTCTTATATATATGGAAAGTATTAATCTATGACTAATGCTATGATGCTGACTTATGGGACATTCATTTCTTTAGAGGTTAGTCACCTGGCACTCTTTAAATAGAAATGGAATACTTGTTGAAAGAACAATTTAATCTCTGTACTAGGGCCCCCACTTTCTTTTTTCTCAGTTAAAGACTTTTTTTTGGTCAATGAAAAAATATTTTATTCATTTACCAAGTAAGCAGTTAAGAAGTACATCATAAATTATTAACAGATCGAGCCTAGTAAAAACACTCATGCTACTCAAAACAATCCCTCTAAGTACTCCCTTACGTGTATTGGAACATTCTCATTCAAAATTTTTGAGTAAATGATGAACTTCACTGTACGGAACAATATGTCAGGTTCTCAAGCTTTTTGCTGAAAAATTCTGATATTCCTTTCCTGGCATATCATGTACACTGAAGTCAACAAAGCCATCCTCTTTAATTTCTTCTTAAATCCATTCCCTCTCAAGTTCATATTGTACCAGTTTACGAGCCGATTCCAACTACATGACCTCTAGTTAAATCCAAGCCAGTCCATAACTTTGTTCCATACATTTGCAGAATACTGACATTCAAAATAGAGATGATGACGGGATTCCATTTGACGATTGCTTGAACACAACACATTGAATAGTGTTTAGTATTCGCAATCTACACAATCTTTCTTGTGTTAGCCTGGACAGAGAGGCAAGCCACAAGATAAATGAGTGCTCAGGATAATGCCACCCCCCACCCCACCCAATAGTTTCAGAGAATATAGTTAATGAGGCTTGATGATTGATCTTTCTATATATAGAAGATATACTGATATTTCCATTATCACAGCAACCATTGAGGATGTTTAATAGGTTATCAATATTTCCAAATTTTATTCTCAGTGTATCTCTTACCCTTAGCATTTGCTTCCATGTCCATGAATCATTCTCTTTAGGTTAAACTTGCCAAATATTTGATTGTCTCAGATAGTTGTTGTGCACCCATTTGATCCAAAGAATATACTTTTTGAGATGTATCATCCAAAGGAGCTTAGCTACTGATGCATAGTTCCAAAATTTTGCTGAATAGACTCCCAATCCGCCATTCTTCAAATCCAGGCAGATAGAAGACCAGGACACCAAATGAACTTTATGTCCCCAGAGAAAATCAGCACACATGCTATCAATCTTTTTTAGAACTTTAATAGGTAGTATATAATTGCTTGTCCAAAAGATTTGAATTCCCAGGATAATTGACTTAATCAGCTACAATCTTCCTACATAAGACAGGTTCTATTGTTGTGCCAATTTTGAAATTGATCTGACACCTTATTTTAGTTTTTTAGAAAATCAGCTTTAAATTCGTAACCGGTGAGATTTAAAGTTGGGCTTCTCTATATCATTTTAAATTTAATCCCTCTAAAACCATTGCACCAAAACTCCTAAGTTATAACAAGAGCTGAGTTTATATTTTCATATTCTAACAATTATTGTGTAACCGGGAACTTTTCAATTTAAAAGAACATTCATGTTTGTGCATATGAAGTTCTGATTAATGTGAATTCTTTGTTTTATAAATGATGGCTCAAATATCAAATTGGCATATAAAGTGCAGGAGGGAATGGATGATAGGGAAGAGAAGGGAGGAGAAGAGAGGAAGGAAAGATGAGAGAGAAGTTGAAGAAATTGAGCAAAGAGGTGGGGTTGGAGAAAGAGGAAAAAAAGAGGTGAGAGTGAGAATATGAAAAAGGAAGGTGTTTTCTTTGGATTTTTTTGGGGTTGTTTTGCAAATATCTTGAGGATAAATCCAAACATAGAGATGGATTTGTTTTACAAAATTTAAAACTTGGGGATAAATCTAAAAATATGAGTTATCTGAGGGATACATATGCAAAAATGTCTTAATTTTAGTGCTTAAAAATTACCATCGGTGATCAGAAATGGCTAATCATTACAACTTTGTCATTTTTACGCTAGTGCAATCGGCGTTAGTTTATGCACCAGAATGGTATAATGATATCCCTTTATATGCGAATTTCATATTTTAGCCTATAAATTTTATGTGCTCTTTGTTTTTAAGTGTAGTAGGGAAAAAGAATAAACTTCAAATAAATGGCGGTTAGATCTGGACAAAAACAATCATTTTTCGATTTTTCAAAATCTTCAATGAAGTAAGCCTGCTCTTTTGGAATGCAATTCAGTTTTCATTGCAAGTTTGATTTTTGTAATTAACTTGCTGGATTACCCGATCTGTATGTTTGTCATCTTCTTCGATATCCAGTCCAGCATGCCTAAAAAATATTTTGATAAAGTATGAAGACTCCTATTGTAATTTTATTATGGGTAATGGTCATAAATGAAAAGTTAACATTCAATTTTTTACGGATGTTAAAAGAACTTAGTTTGTAAACATGGCATGGTAATTGTTAACGTATCAGCATCAGATTGTGCAATATATTTGGGATTGCTCATTGATTCCCCATTGATTGCCCATTGATTTTCTTCCTTTTTTATTTCTTGCCTTTATAGCTGGTTGATGTATATATATATATAGACGTGTAATCTCATTGTAAAATAACAAGCAAAGGAATATAATTTTGCTCTCATCTAACATGGTATCAAAGCTCTGCTCTTAAAACAGATCACCGCCTCCATCTTCTCTCTCTCACGTTTCCAGCGTCGACGACCACACCAGACCCGTGCTCCCTCCTCCGGCCAGAGCTTCGCCGCCATCCCGTCGCCGGCGAACACCTTCCCGTTCGCATCCCTGCCCTCCCCGACAAACCCAGATCCGAACCGCCATCCTGCTGGCCTCTTCAGACCTGAACCGCCGCCCAAAACCAAGATTTCTCCTCCAGCCAGAGCTTCGCCACTCAGACGGTCGCCAGCGAACTCCTCCGGCCAGATCCGCGCTTTCCGTCGCCCAGAACCGACCAGATCCGCGCTTTCCGCCACCCAGAACCGACCAGATCCGCCGCCCAGAACCGAGCTTTCTCCTCCAGCCAGAGCTTCGCTGCTCAGCCGGTCGCCAGTGAACTCCTCCGGCCAGATCCACGCCTCCCATCGCCCAGAACCGACCAGATCCTCTCTTCTTCTCAGCTGTCATACATAAAAGTGTGATTTTTGTGGGTTTGGTTCTCTTATGTTTGGTCCTTCTCTTCTTCTCAGCTGTCATACATAAAAGTGTGATTTTTGTGGGTTTGGTTCTCTTATGTTTGGTCCTTTTGGAATTGCTGATATGGAGAAATCTGAAATCTTTCGTTCTATTACTGTTATTTTGGATGGCTCTAATTATACTCTATGGTCTCAACGAATGAAAAGCTTCTTAATTGGACATAAGCTTTGGCGCATTATTACTGGCGATGTTGTTTAACCAGTCCGAGATGCTGATGAAAACAATACCAAGTATGCAGAACGTCTTGAAGATTGGGATAGCAAAAATCATCAGATAATTACCTGGTTCTGTAACACCTCTATTTCAGCCATTCATATCCAGTTTACTGATTTTGATACTGCAAAAGAAATTTGGGATTTCTTGTCCAATCGGTACAAAACTACAGGTCTTGCACACTATTATCAACTGCTCACAACTCTTGCCAGTCTTAAACAAGACTCTGGACAATCTGTTAATGACTTCCTTGCTGTCATTCAGCCTATATGAAATCAATTAGCATAAGCTAATATCAGCGATGATCATCTTCGCCTTATTCAGGTTCTCATGGCTCTACGTCCTGAATATGAATCTGTTCGTGCTGCTCTGTTGCATCGTGATCCTTTACCCTCTTTGGATGCTGCTGTTAAAGAAATCTTATTTGAGGAAACACGTCTTGGTTTGATTAAATCTCCTTTACCGGAAGTTGCTCTTGCTATCACTCGGCCACGCTCTGCATCTGGCTCATCCTTGTGTAAGAATTGTAGAAATACTGGACATACATTTGCAAATTGCTCTACTATTGAGTGCAGATACTGTCACAAACATGGTCATATTTTGGAAAATTGTCCAACCCGTCCACCTTGTCCTTAAGGAACTTCAACAAAATCTAAGTTTTTCTCTAAGGCTAGTTCTTCTGCTGCTGCTGTTACTACTCCTTCTGATGAGTCCCCTTCCTCTGTTCTTACTGTTAGCGATCTCGAAGCTCTTCTCAAACAGGTGATATCCTCTAATCCTTCATCTTCCACTGCATTAGCTGTCACTGCAGGTGATTCTTGGTTTCTTGACTCTGCTTGTTGCAATCATATGACTTCTCAAATGTCTCTCTTATCTAATAAAACTTCTAGCAAATTTCTGCCACCCATTCAAACTGCTGATGGTAATTGTATGTCTATTACCCATATTGGAACAGCATCTACCTCTAATTTAAACCTTCCTGATACTTATTGTGTCCCTAAATTATCCCTAAACTTAGCCTCGGTTGGTCAATTATGTGATCTTGGTCTAACTGTTCTTTTCTCTCCCCATGGTTGTCAGGTTCAGGATCTTCAAACGGGACAGATAATTGGCACGGGGCGCAAGGTGGGACGATTATTTGAGCTCACATCTCTTAAAGTTTCTGCTCCCAGATCGATTTCTGCTTCCACCACCATTCCATTAATATACCAGTGGCATCTTCGTCTTGGTCATGCATCCGCTAGTAAACTTCGTCCTTTAGTTTCTAGTGGAACTTTAGGTCTTTCCAAATTTGAGTCTTTTGATTGTTTACATTGTCAACTCGCAAAACAGCCTGCCTTATCTTTTAATCATAGTAACTCTAAATGTGATACTCCTTTTGGCTTGATTCATTCTGATATTTGGGGTCCTGCTCCTACTCCTACTGTGAATGGTTATAAATATTTTGTTTTATTCATTGATGACTATTCTAGATTTACATGGATATGTTTTCTTAAGCATAGATCTGAATTATCTCAAATCTATATTGATTTTTCTACCATGATTACAACTCAATTTTCTTGCTGTATCAA